ATTGAGATATACTCTGCTTATTATGTGCTTAAAATTAGCAAAAAGCTTCTCGTATTTCTAAAGAACCTTGTCAAAAAACCAAGCTATTCTGAGTTGCTTTTCACAAGCTCGATTGAAGTTCATGATATATTGCCGATAAAATGAAGTACATCTCCATATTCTGATGTAATTTCAATCGATTTTCACTGCCTTATGACTTTGTTCTAACTTTATGTGAAAATAGGCAAACATAGGATATTTCATCTAATATAGGCTTTTACTGGGGTTTTCGAACTTTTGCAAAAGGCAAACATTACTACAAGACTCTGCGTGGCTGATAACCTGTGTTTCCGTTTAGTTTCAGCATTAACACACCTAAGGAAATATTGATCAGAGGATGTCAAGGAAATCGAATGCCGCGTCTAAATCACGAACGATTAAGAGATCGCTTAGTTCCCATTTCGAATTGGACACTTTAGGGTATCTATTCATGTAAAAAAGCTAATATAATGCTATGTTAAGTTTTCGAGTTATGAAATAGTTTTCCAAATATCTCTGAAAAAATCGGTTGTTGCAGTTTTTTTCAAAATGTTTCTGCTTATGAAAAGTTGCATTGAGGTCTTGGTTGTTGAATGGTACAAATTGGAACCCTTTATCAGCTCAGGTTCAATAGTTATTCAAATAACCTCCGGTGACCTCATTTTTTGAATTGAATAGTAGAATATAATAGAATAATTTTATTTCTTTGAAATTTTTTATTGATTCGATTAGTATTTTCAGTGATAAACAGCAAAATAATTTTTACGACAAGATTAAGCACCTTTTTTATCAACATCGGAATGAGTTCAGACCTTCAGGATACGGTCGATTTTCTCCGCTAAACGTGATTATAAGGTCGAAAAAATCGAAAAAGCATATTTGCGTGGGTTTTCCAGAAACCGATTTGAAAAATCTTAGGGTTTTGTAAACTTTTTTAAGATCTCCTATAAATAAGATATAGAATAGCTTAAATACTCTATATTCTGAAGGTGTGAACTCATTCCGATGTTTATTGAGTGAAAAGTGAACTTTTTAATAGTTGAAACAGCTTGAAAACCCAAAGTTTTGTAAAACTCACTTTTCGGTAGACTTTTAGAACTTTTTCTAAAAACAAATATTGCCACAAGACTCAGCATGATCGATTACCTATAGTCCATCCGTTTTCAAGGCTACCAATAGTCACCGGATGCCAGTCCTGGGACTCGCAAGAAATCCGACACAACACCCGAACCAAGGTCTTGCTTGACTCTCATTTTAAAGAAGATACCCTGGGGTATCATAGCATGGAAAAAAATCAATACAATCCTACTGAACATTTTTACACACGGTCTGGTTTTCGAAAGATCTCCTCGCTGTTTCTCTTAGGTTCCAGTAAAAGCCGTTTTTCTCAGAAAGGAAAACGAATTTTGAAAAAAGCTCCACGTACTTTTAAAGCTGGCGTGTTGGTCAATCTGATGGTGTGTGAATCATCGATATAGTCCTTCACCCAAAAAACTAGGTAGATTTACAAATTGAGGCATACTTAGTTGACAGCCGTTGGTTTGGACGTCTATGGTGGACGACTGTTTCCCTCTGAAATGAATTGAAAACCTTTTCTAAATCAGTTTTCAGTGCTGATTCAGAAAAATATAGTTCGAACCTTCCATCTTGTAATACAAGCTCAAAAAGTCAATTTCATCAAAGAGAACGGTTTAGGGTATTTTTGAGGTCCTTTCAGTAATTTGAGTTTTTCTCCAAATAGCTTTTGGAGGCTCGGATGACGTTATTCGAAATCAGCTCGTTAAGCTGAATCTGAATATGTACAATAATGCCAAAAAACTTTCACTTGAAGTTTGCATTACGTGCATCTTACCATGCTGTTATAATGTTTTCTTCATCACGACGACCAATAACACATAAACCAGTGTTAAATGAACGAAACAGTAAATTAGAATATTGTTTATCATCAATGCAAGGTTATCGTCCAACAGTGGACGATACACATGTCATGAAATTACTACTGGATCAACAAACACCATCTCGATAGTCCTATTTTAGTATATTTGATGCATGATGGTACTCAGATAGTCAAGACGGTCAGTGAACGTTTACATAAGTATATGTTAAGCAAGCTCTGTACGGTTGGACGAACAAGCAGCACTTTAAGTCAAAAAACAGTAGATCCATTTCGGAGACAAACGCCTGTCTACCATGGACGTCCGAAACGACCAATGAGAAATAGGGGTGAGTCATTCTGTAGGCCTATCTAGTTTCTGAAGCCATTTGGATCTTAGCAGACTTTCTCAATGCCCAGCTTGAAAAGTACGTCGTGCTATTTTTAAATTTTGTTGCATTGCTGAGAAAATGCATCTTTTCCAAATCAGAGGCGACAACCAGGGCAGGGCAACTCCAGCTCCGAAGTTGAGGATTGTTTTGGTGGAGTTGGAGTTGAGATTTTAGTAGGTTGGAGTTGGGTTTTTGAATTTTTATTCTCAACTCCGTTTTGCATTTTTGGAAATATTCAATAGTTTTAAACAAACTGATCTTCTAAGCGATTGAGTGGCTGTATTCACGAGTGAATTCAGAAGTTCGTTGCGCTTTCCTGTCGGAAAAAGCTCAAAAACGTCCAGAGCACTGCTAAAAACCGAAAAATCTTCCTTACAAAAGTGAAGCAACCGGAGTTGAACTGGTGTTGAGAGAGTTGGAGTTGAAAATTTGAAAACGGAGTTGTGTTGGAGTGGAGTTGTAGTTGAAAGTCAGCGGAGTTGCCCAGCCCTGGCGAAAACGTCGGAATTCTTCTCGTGATTGTCAATTTTGTGTGTCTCTGTTCTAGTCGAGTATTTAAATTACTTTCGAATTTTCACATTGAAAAATCATCGAGATTTTTCGCCAAAAAATGAAAATTAACTAAGTATGTCGAAATACACATTAGTCAATTCGCCTGATTCCAAACGATTAGTGATATGGCAAATTTGGAGACCTTGCGACCTTCCGAAAGTTAGAAGGCGTAGTGAACGCTGCAGATAAAAGGCACCCAAACCCAAAAAACGAATACTATCCTAGTTGGGGTGGCCATTTATTATTATTGTTAATATTTTCTAGCGTCCTCGCGATGAACATCGATAGTTTGAGTATAACCTCATAATTTTCTTAAAGGACTAAAAATCGATAAATAGTCATTGTATTCGTAATAAACTATTCTGTAAGCTTTTTCGACGGGTTGAAGAAAATGAAAATGAAAGAATTTTTTTTCTTCATTTTTCAATGCTCTTCTTTTGTTGGCATCATGCAAATACTTTAACGATAACTGAATGATAAATAACTAATACCAGCGATAGATAAGAAGGCCTGTAATGCATGATGAAAAATGGATGACACGTTTCTTTGACACAATACATCATATTCTGCACTACTTGGTGCTTGAATAACACCATAGCTATAAAATACAAATATAAGTGCCGGAAGTCCGAATGAAAAGTAAAACTTTTTTTCCCGTTTTCTTTTCGATGGTTCGATAGAGCACATCGAGATGAGTGGGAAAAACGCTTTTTAGATTTTGGAAATGGCCCTTTTACGTCGAAAAATTTGAAAAACTCGGGAGGATCGCTTTTTCTCAAAAAACGCATTGTTTTCACAATACACAAAACCTTTTTACTACTTCCGTGAGACAAAACGGCAAGACCGTTTTTTTCACAATTCCGAACTTTGCAGATAGATGGTTTTGTTTCGAAGAAATATTAATCATAAGTTTATATGAGAGGTAACGATCAATTTTGTTACACACTGTATATGAAAAACCGAAAGAGCTTGTGTAGAACAGAGAAGATCTTTCTCTTACTATGACACTGTTTGACGGATACTAAAAGATATTCAGTATGTACGTCTTTTCAAAGTACCCATTTTTTCCTTCTTTTGCGTTAAAAAATCCTGTCTCAAGTCCATGAACGGCTATTGTTGAAAACCATTTCCATCATAATTCAGCATGACGCTCCTTGCTGTTACATATCAAATAACCAGTACTATCCGAGAGACATTCTGTGGTTAGTGAATACTGTTTGTCAAGCGAATAGACTTTTACAAGCTCTATTCACAGTCATGTTCTTTCCTTTTCGCAAACCTGTTCAGATAAAAATTTTTTTATGAATCAATAGCCCAAGTGCGCAGCTTTCAGAATATATATGTTACAATTTTTAAGTGACTGCCTATTTGACAAGAGAAAACGATTTTCGTCGAGTTGTGGCAAAAATTGCAAAAATTGGGACTTACTCATCTCGATCACTTAAAGCCTTTGGATCAAATATTTTTCACCATTAAATAGGCCATTGGCTAGTGTATATAAAACACTATTTAAATCATTAAAAAAGTAGCTTTCGTTTTTTCACCTAATTTCCATGTGATTGCCCATTGTGCTATTTTCCATTGTAAATATTAGTGGAGTAATTAGTAACAGCATACATTCCAAACTGTGCTATGAACAACTTCAGAAAAAAATCAAAGAAAAGTTTAACACTTCATTGGCCAAGCTGCATCTGGTGAAAGAGTTCGTTTTTGAACCAGAACTCGAAAAAGTTGCGTTTTACGGAAGTTAGAGTTTACTGGATAAACTTAGCCACATACTGGAATTGGAAAGTTGTTCTCATGTACTTTTTATTGAGTGTTTTAATAAATCTCCTTTTCTAAATGTGGCCCAAACATTTCTCTACAAGGCATAATGAGTGAACGTATTTTAAAGGCAAAATTGCAATTACAGCATTGAACAACATTTCTCTGCAGTAAATAGCATTTTCATCATATTAACAACATATGCAGTAGTCAGTAAACAAGGATTTGTAATGTAGTCGCAACGCTGAAGCACGGTATCGTTCACTTTGTCTGCATTCATGAATGTACTAAATGTTGAGATCTTGTTTTGTTCAGACTGTGTACGTTCGATACTTAGAACTCCCGAATCCTACTAGGTCTTCGTGTCAGTTTCAATCAGTTCCTAAAAAGTGCTCCGGTCCCAATGTGGAGAAACTGCTTGAGTCGATCGAAACCCTGTATAGTTTATCTAAATCAAAAGAGTGCCCTGAAAGGTCAGATCTCAGAAATGATTCATCCAGAGTGACTGAAACCAGTGCTAAAGGTAAAAGTATTATCATCAACATTGTTTGACTCTGGTCAAAGACCCTTTTCGTCGACTCAAGTGGATTGAGACCATTGTAAGAAAAAGTTCTCACACCACGATCGCGAATGATAAATTTTTTGTAAAATAAGAGTTGGTCGTGATCACGCCGCGACTTCTTACCGATCGAGGAACGAGTTGCGAGGTTTTAACGCGATCCCAAAGCGAGGGACGCGTTCGTGACATGAATGAAATAAGAAAGTGGACCTAAGAAGTCTTCGTACTTAAAATCATAGTGACAGTTTTTCATATTTAACAAAAACAAGTTATTTATGTTCCCTAACGACAAGAAACCAAAAGCGAGAGTTACTTTTAATCCTCTCTAATCTTTTTAAACATAATTATGAATCTTTTTGTTTGACATCGTATAATCCGTAATAAACTCAGTGAAGAAGGGTCACGAAATTCTTAATAAGTCACTGGAATTCTAAAAAAATATTACATCGTTACAGACAGAGATAGAAGAAAATACGAAGTCAGTGTGATTCTAGCTTTGTAAAAGGATTGATTGTGTGCTTCTGATAGTTTAAGAAACAGAATAATATAATAATGAAATATTTACCTCAATGGTGTGCAACAGAAAATCTCCTCAAAATCTTGTCACGAATTACGATCTTACTATAATCCCACCGCGATCCTGTCACACTCTTGAAACAAAATGGAACGGAATCGCATACCGAATTTGACCAGAATGGAACGGGAATACCACTGGGGCAGTTATAATAATATCAAAACCAGAGATAATTGATGTAAGCTAGAAAAATTTATTATTTAGTGGAATCTAGTGAAATTTATACTTTGCAGACAAAATATTAAGTGTTTTTCTTGTTTTAGACTTTATTTTAAAAACTGATAATGAAAAACATTGAGAAAAAAATCTGATCTTAAAAATTAGTGAGACTGATATCGCAAAAAGATACTATCAGTTCTAAACTGTCTAGTATACATTTTCCACTATGGCCTGCGCTAGATATCCATATTTATATAGAATAATAAAAATGATCTTGGAAAATGTTTTTTGATTCCAGGTTTGATCTTGGACTGATCTTCAGTAATAGAATGCGTTTGAACTTACAACAGAATAAAAATCAATTATTTTTTCAAAAAAATTTTAAGAGCGATACATCCGTATTTGCTTAGTTTCTATGATCTATTGTTTATATTTTGTTACAGTTTTATGAAAGCTGTGATGACAATATCGTTAGTCATTTTCCATTTTCTGTGCATCGCTAATTGTATAATCACCTACAATAAAAAAAAGCAAGATCATCGACTATAGTCTCTTCTTTGCACATCAATGGCTATCTCGCTAATTCTTGATGCTCTGTCAAAATGTAGTATATAGTTTTTTACTAAACTGGAGAATATTTTCTTGTATTGTAGAAGGGGAAAACAACACTTACGCTTATCATTTGCTTCTATTAAACGCCGTTGAAATTTCAACATTTTTACAATGACTTCTTCTGGCTCTGGTTTCTGCAATAAAATAAGAGCCTAATTTACTATTGTAGAATGTACTTTACACGTAAAAAGCATACTATACTAAGTACTGTGGAAATAATAGTCAATGCACGATCAAATTCACCAATTCTTCTTAGAATATCTACTTGAATACATTCTGTAATTGCAACTTGTTCACCTAGCGTTTTTCCATCTTCTAAACACTTATCAATTAATTCCAATGTTCTCAAACGACATTTTCTTGCTGCATCGTCATTTATGCTATCATCACAGACCCATGCACCGCGTAATGATTGCCAACAAGCAGTATCAAACTTTTTCTCGTTTTCTACAAAAACACAAAAAATTCTATTCCTGTTTTCTCATTCGATATTTGATATATCGCTTTTACATCCCTAGTAAAAGTGCATAACAAAGAAAATACTTTGACAATGGAGGATATTCGTTTGATTTAAGCTGATTTTGATAAATGGGTGATGAAATTAATATTTGGCGTTTAACCATTGTTTCATCATGTTCTTTCTTCCAAAAGAAATAAAACATCATTTAAATTCAGTAATCAATTACTATTGTGAAAATAAAATTTGATCGTGGAAAGAACAACATGTAACCAATCTACACTGAAACTACTTCCTGCTTTAAAAACCGATTCATGAGCGTACCTGCTCATCATTCTTGAATTCGTTCGGACGTTGAATATGTGTACTACAATAACCACAATGTGGACAGTGCTGAATCCACATCCATATTGTTTCTCTTTCCATGGACGGTGGTCTACAATTAAAACAAAGTTAAAGGACATTATTCTATAGTGACTTGAAAAAAAGCACCGTAAATCCAGATCGGGTGAGCCAAACGTTGTATACGAATTGAGAATAGTTTGTTGCGATTTTTGTTGACAATTTTCACAACGTTTTATCTCTTCGGAAAATGTAACCATTTGTTTTCTTTGTAATAGAAGTTCTACAAAAGATAAGAGGTTTAAGAATGAAGTGTATAAGTTTGTAATTGCATAGATGAAAATTTCCAATCAATGCCACAATAGATACATAATCATTTAATCGAACTAACGCTGTCTGCCAGTAATTGCGCCACAATGAAAAGTGTTGTGTAAAACACGTTATACTTTTTGTTGATGCAGAAAAAAAAGGAAAAATAATATTGTTTTAAGGTCAGAATACTCTCTATGAAAAAATTTTTGTCCTGTTACTTGCTACAATCATTTGCAGTTGTACTTCAGGCTATACTATAACAACTTTTTGCTTTTCATTTTTGATTATTTGTATAAAAATATACATAACTATACTATGCCCGTGGCGCGAAAGTCTTTGTACGAGATGTTCGTTCATTTCTGGTCACTTAAAAGCAACTGGTGAAAGTCAAAAGCCCTTAATAAAAATTAGAATTTTATGCTCTTCTTAAATATATCTTCAGAATTTTTTTCTGACCAAAGGTTTTGATTAACTGAGAGCAAATGTTTGACAGGACTAAAAGTGAAGTTTGCACAGAATTTTATTTGACTAATTTTTGTATTTTGACTAAAACCTACTCAACGCCAAATATGAAAGGTCTTTTCATGTGCCAGTTTTGTAGAGCCAAGTGTGCTTTTCAAAATGTCCTATCTACTTTTCTTTTTATATCTCGAAACAAAGGCACAAAATCTGTTGCATCGTAAAAGATGGATTTCAAAAACTGTTTTTTTGACAGTATGTCATTTTACGTTGAAAGTAGTTGTAAGAAAGACGTTTATAACATTTGATTCTTTTATGTTTAAGCCTATTGTAATACGTGATTTTGTAGATAATTCAATGCTCTACAAAATGCTAAGTAAAAGCTGCTTCAAAATGCAACCTGGACAAGCTACGAATAAAGCTAAAGCGTTAGATTTCTTCGTCCTGACGTCATTTTCGTTGCTTTCTAGCATTTGCTCATAGTAACCAATTTTTAGGCAGAGAAATATTCTGAGCACATATTCAGAAAGAACACGAAATTCTGATTCTAACGAACTACTTTTGATTCTAACTGGTGACGTTTAAGTGACCGATAGATGAATAAACATTTTGTGCAAAGACTTTCAGTCCAAACTTCATTTTCGACCCTGTCAAATATTTGCTTTCAGTTAATCAACTTTAAGTCAGAAAAAAATTCTGAAGATATATTTAAGAAGAGCATAAAATTCTGATTTTTATCAAGGGCTTTTGATTCTCACCAGTTGCTTTTAAGTGACCGGAAAATGAACGAACATTTTGTACCAAAACTTTGTCGCTATGGATTATATGTGGTAGTGCTGGTTGCGATAAGAAAACGGAGGTCACAGCGTCACTCTGCATTTATTTCTATCGTCTTACTTTTCTCACAAATACACAGTTTGAAGGTTAAAAGGATAGTTAAAAGAATGATCAAGAGCTATAGAGTATAAACTTCAACTCCTCTTTCTTTCGGAGATATAGGAGAGGTTTCACTAAAGGCAACAATTAGTAGATATCTCTGGTATCTTCGTCACATGTGATATTTTCTAACTGACAGAATTCAAGCTAGAGTAACTAACTACAGTACTTCAGTTAGAATAGTGGGAATTTTATTGTTTATACGATGAACACTGTTCAATTCTATTTACATGAGAAGTTTTAATGATTATTTTTATTTATCGTCGTTTATCGTCTATTCTCATTGTTTCAACATTACTTATTTACAATTCAAACTTGGCTATTTCATTCTCACGTGCAGGGATGCACCGGTTCCGGTTATAACCGATACTGATTGAAACCGAGATGTCTGTCACATTTTCCTATGGTTAGAAAGGAATTCGACATCTTGAATGTGCTTGTAGCCCGTCTTTCAGAGATTTTCCTAGGATATGAAATGCAGGACCGGAAATTTTCAGAAACTGGTACTCTGGCCTGCATCGTAATGCTTAAATTTTCAACTAACGAAGAAAACTTTGTCTACTGCTGGTACAAAACGTTGAATAATTTGAAAGAGAACTCAGGAATCCGAAGAAGAATGCATGGCATAGTAGGTTCGAGCCGAGACTCTTCTGTTCGAGTACAATAAAGATACGTTTTTTGTCATCTGATGAACCGAAGACTTTCCGCTTATTTGAAATACAGAAGATGTAGAGAAAACGAAGGCCGAAATTTTAAAATTATGTGTTAAAAAGCTTTCATGAGAATATCAGTTATGACTATGTATCCGTTACAATCGCTCATCGGTTAACCGTAACTGATGCTTCCCTACTCATGTGGAACGTAATTGATTTAAGTATAATTTTATTATTGAGTGATCTAAATACATCAAATTATTCTGTTAGAAACATGTTCTGAGGTTAATTACAAGGATATTTTATTCATACGTTTGTTTATTATCTCTCTCATTCCTATTGTATTCCAGCATTCTACCGATTATTTCCTATCGTCTATGGTAAATACAAATACTTACACATATGTCGAACCTATCTTTTATTTATTTTTATTCAATCATTTCTCGTTTTAGGCTACTACTTCCTGTTCTTTCATTAAACTCTGTTTTATATTCCATTTATAAGAAGTGTACATAAAAAAAGAATTCTATGGCTTTTCGAAAGGGTTCCTAGAGCACCCAAGCACAAAAACATGGTTTTTCAATTTTTTTCTATCTTATAATCATGTCTAGAGCACAAAATTAACCAGATCCTGAAGTTCTCAATTCGTTCTGATGCTTTTTGAGTAAAATGTGACTTTCGTGATGAAAAACTAACTTTAGACCACAGAATTAGAATTTGAATAGTACCGTTAATCACTTTCAAAATAAAATTTAACCTATTTCCAGCTACGGAATCACGCTGTCGAATAAATCATTTTAGAAGCAAAAGCGAAAAGCGACCGTTCCGTTAATATTTTGTCACATCTATTTTGTTATTATAACTTACTATTCTTTTCATTCAATGAACGCCTTTCCAAATCGATTAAAAACTATCTAGTGCCTACACAAAACGTTCCCATAATATACTCTTTGGGTCTTAAGGATTTTGGAGCTTGCCCCATCATCGGACTTGGTTAACTCTGACTTGACAGTGAACACCTTGAAAATCGAGTTTTGAGCACAGAATATTCACAAATTGAAATTAAAAATATTTGCGCTTTATTATTTAATTTTTAAACAAGCTCATTCGTCTGAGTTTACTTTTAACCATTTAAATTTAATTTAATAATTTATTTATTCTTTTAAATTTTAATAATTTTAAAGAGTGAAACATTTTTTTGCTCAGCGCAAAAAAGAAATGCACTTGATTAAATATATTAAATCATTTTTTCTGCGTTAAAATGTGGTGTTGCTAGGCATCAAATATTTCACTTCCTTGTTTCTTGCTTGGGTGAATAGGAAAAACATACGAAAACTCATCAAATTCTGTTCCGTTACTGGTTCTTTGTGCTACTATCCAACATAGCTGTGGATGTAATT